TAGATCCAGAGAGGGAGAGCGACTGTGTGCTGAAGACCTGGGGGGCACGGGGGAAGGATTGCATGGAGGGGATTGTAACAATGGCAATGAGACGATATACGATAGAATGAATGTAAAACCAATGTTCTCCCATGTAAACTATCACATAATTCACAATAAATCATTAAAAAAAAAAAAAAACATTTAGCCACCCTAGAAATTATCATGTTTGTGATATGTTTCTATCAACATAGTAATTGGTAGTGTACTGAATCTGGACTAAGTCCTTAACAATTGGCCATTTTATGGCAGACATGCAAAATGCCTTTTTAAAAGTAAGATATAGAGCTATCCTAAAACAAATAAATATATTTTCCTTTTCTGAAAGGGAAAATGCAATGCATTCCATTCCTGAAAATGCAATACAGATCAGTCAACAATCTCTAGATACCTGTAGGAAGGTAGCAAGTATAGTGTCAAGATAAACGAGCTCTGTTAGTGAGATTACATAACCCTTGAAGATATATATCTCTTAGAAGTTTAAAATCAAGACATTTCTGTTGGGATGTATTCTATAGTGCTATAAACTCTATATGCCATACACCTTCTTTTCTCAGATCTAAGACATGTCAGTGGTCAATGAAATCTCAAGTCTGATCCATTACAGTTTAAATCCATGGTGTTTTTTTTTGGAGTAGAGTATATTACAAAAAATTAAAGAACTTAAGGACAGTTATTTTAAGTATTGTATTTTCTGTGGAGTTCAAGATAGATGTGCAGAAGCTTGAAGCTCCACCATAAAATAATTTACTTCCTCCTCCTGTCTTTAGGATCATGAGTTCTAGTTCTTGGTGTGTGGGCACTAGTTTACCTTCCTACTGTCACCTCCCACCACTGGCATCTTGCTTTCTGTGCCTTCACTTTCAGGGACTTTCAGGCTCCCTAGAGTGCTGAGTGCGCTCTCCACCTCCAACCTTTGCATATGCAGTTCCCTTGGCTGAGGAGGAATGCTTGCCTCCTCCATGCCAACTCTTTTTCCTTAACTTACTTCTACAAGGTCTTCAGACTTCAGCTTAGATGTAATTTTCTTCACATGGCTTGTTGTGACTCTCCGCCTCACCCCCCAAGACAAGGTAAAGTGATATCATGGATTGAATTGTGTCTCCCCAAAATCTGTGTCAGCTTGGCTGGGCCATGCCTCTCAGTGGTTTGGCAGTGATGTAACGATGTAATGTGGCAGCTATGTGAGGATTCCGCATAATGAATGGGATCTGATGTGAGAAACCAGAAAGGGTGGAAGGCAAGACCCTAATCCCATCACAGTTTTCCTGAAGTGTGGCCTGCAACAAGAGATAAAAGGAGAGAAAAGTGAGCAGAGACAGAGGGATCTACTAACATGAAGAAAGAAGAACTGTGAGTCCCAGCAGTAGAGTGTATCCTTTGGACTTGAAGTGTCTGCGTTCAACAGTGCCCTTAGCTCCGGGGCAAGATTGATGCTGGCACCCATGGAGAGTTGGAGAGTCTGCCTGCTGTTATGTCTCCAGCATACATACACGAGTTTAGCACAAGGATGGTGATATTAAGAAAATGGCGGCATATAGACCATGATGTAGAGACATAAAGCCCTTGGCTCCACACCATAGCACCCCATCAGTGACTTGCCTTCTCAGTTGTAGCTGTGGATGAAGAACGCTTTTGTAAAGGATGTTTGCCAGGCTCAGCTTACCCCAATGTATTGCTGTGAATGCTAAATGGGATAATAAAGGAATTTTTAACCCAAAAATGCCACTGTTTTGGGGTTACACTTGCAAATGCCCAGCAATCCCTGGTGTTACCTTGTGTAACTGGTAATACTGGAAGGCACCAACTCCACCCTGCTCTTCCGCAGTCCAGAGCACCAAACGCAGGGTCCTCTTTGGGCGCAGTCCTACGAAGAAGAATAAAATACAGCAAGTGATACTAGAGTTAATTCTGGATTTAATAAAGCTGACAGAACCCTCTTCTGCATTCAGAAGGAGGAAGGAATCAGAGGCACTCCTCACTGTCTGAGGTAGCTGCTTTAGGGCGTAGCTGACACAGCCAAGGAGCAGTCTTAAGGGCCCATCTTCAGGCAGGCTAGTGTGGGGAGGGCTTGTGCCCACTACTGTCTGCAGGCCGGGAAAAGAGGGCCTCAAATCGAACCCTAACCCGGATAGACATCCTGCCCAACAGGACCCAATGGATGACCAAGTACGGTGGGATATTAGATTGCATCCAGAAGAGGCAGTTAGGAGGTCTATTGTTGTTATTAAGTGCTGTCAAGTCGGTTCTGACTTATAGTGTCCCTGTATAGGGTATCTAAGGAGCAGCTGGTGAGTTTGAACCACCAACCTTGTGATTCAAACCGACCTTGTGTTTTATCTCACAGCACCACAGGAGGTCTAGAAGCAGAAAAAGAAGGATCCTTGGTGGCACAGTGAGTTAAGAGCTGGGTAGTGAACCACAAGGTGGCCGGTTTAAACCCACTGTCTGCAGGCCCGCTGGAGAAGAATGAGGCTGTCTGTTCCCACAGAGCTTCAGTGTTGGAAACTGTAAGGAGCAGCTCTCCTCCCTTCATTAGGGTCATCCGAGTCAGGATGGACTTAATGGCAGTCGGTGTGGTTTTTGTTTTTTTGCAAGGAGATCACTGAAGCTCCGTGGCTTGACTCTACTTCAAGTTAAAGTGTGTAGGGGATTACTTCTTAGTCTAACTCTACAAGTACAGCTAACCACTCCCATGGCCCTCAGTAATGTGATGGCTGCCCCTGGCCATTCATTGTCTTCTACTTGGAAATAGAAGGTCATTTGCTTAGGGTCAGTGAAAACTGACTGAATGAAAATAACACATTTTATTAGCCCTGTTATTACATAAACAACCTGCTGGCAATTACAGTGATTTGTAAAATACTAATTTGTATCCTTTGAGCCACTATGTCTTTTTTGTTCTGTAAAAATTAACTACAAGGAAATGCTGTTCCCCAAACTTAAAATAATATACAGTACATTAAAAGTTATACTGCGACCAAGAATTAAAATCTGCTTTGAGTTTGGACCTGAAGATGTTTTGTGAGAAATAATAAAAGCAGAATGGCATAAAAACCCACACATTGTCTTTGAGTCTATTACAACTCATATCAAGCTTACAGGACAGGGTAGAACTGCTCTATCAGGTTTATGAAACAGCAAAGCTTTACTGGAGCAGACTGCCTCATATTTCTTCCACAGAGTGACTGGTGGGTTTGAACCACCGACCTTCAGATTAACTATGCAATGCTTACAGGAAAACATTAATCTGGGCTTAAATCTCTGTCTTCCTGCATCCTCACAGGGGCCAGTTAGGGCAGGACTAAAATGCAGTTTGAGTGTCTCTGAGATGAAAACCAACTGCCATCAAGCCAATGCAAACTCCTATGAGGCTATATAGGGTTTCTGATACTATAAATCTTTATGAGAGCAGACATCCTTGTCTTTCTCCTGTGGAAACACTGGTGGGTTTGAACCGCCAACTTTGTGGTTAGCCGTCCAGTGAATATCCTACAGCACCACCAGCTATCATCACCCAAGTGCTGAGTCTGAGGAAGACCACAACCTGGACGACAGAGCCCCTTCCTTGCCTCCACCAGTGTCAACAGGTAATCTTTTGATAAACTCAGCCCTAAGTAGCTTAAAAAGGAGCCCTGGTGGCATAATGGGTTACACATTGGGCTGCTAAGTGCAATGTCAGCAGTTCGAGTCCACCAGATGCTCCTCAAGAGACCAATGAGGCTTTCTGATCCTGTAAAGATTTACAGTTTTGGAAACTATACAGGGTTGCTATGAGTTGGACCCTACCTGATAGACCACAACCACAATCACCACCACCAAGGAGCTTAAGAAGAACTGGTTTTCCTTTTTTTAAAACTAAACTGAACCCACTTTAATTGAGCAATTTACCTTAATTAAAAGAATGCCAACTTAGGATGCAGGGTGACCTGAGTTTGAATTAAAACCTGGAAAAGCAATTTCCACACGCAATTCATCAGCAAATCCCATTGGCATTTCCTTCTAAATAGATCTAGAATCCAAACTCTCAACTGTACTACCACTCTGGTCCAAGACACCATCGTCTCTTGCCTGAACTGCTTCACTGGGCTTTTAACTGGTTGCCTTGCTACAGCCCTTGCTCCTCTGTAGCTAGAGAACCCTCGTGAAACCTAAGCCAGATCATAGCTTTTCTCTGCTTTGTGCCTTCAGCGAAAGCAGAGATTCACAGCTTTAAAAAAAAAACAAAACACTACTATGTCCCTGCTACCTAGACTGTTTGGCACATAGTGTTGTTGTTATTAGCTGCCTGGTGTGGCACTGTAGGATATTGCACTGGACCGCAAAGTCAGTTTGAACCACAAGGTCAGTGGTTCAAACTCACCAGCCACTCCTCAGAAACCCTATTCAATGTTGCTATGAGTCGGAACTGATTCGAAGGCACTTAACAACAACTGATAACCATAAGGTTGGAAGTTCAAACCCACCAGTTGCTCCATGGAAACCTTATATAGGGTCACCATGAGTTGGAACTGACTCAACGGCACTTAACAACAACAACTGGGCTCAAGTGTACCAAAAATTGTGAGCATGGTGCAGGACCAGACAATGCTTCATTCTGTTGTGTATAAGGCCACTGTGAATCATAATTGACTGGATGGCACCTAACAACAACAAGAATTGCTCCCTGATTCCTGGACCCCATACACAATGGATCGAATAGTTGTCATCCATAAGGTTTTCATTGGCTGGTTTTTTAAAGTGGGTAAACCAGGTCTTTCTTCCTAATTTGTCTTAATCTAGAAACTCTGCTGAAACCTGTTCAGATTCATTGTAACATACAAGCCTGCCACTGACGGGGTGAGTGAGTGGTTGTGCTTGAGGTTCATTGGTGGGGGATCAAACCAGTATCTCTTGCATGGAAGGTAAGAACTCTACCACTAACCACCACTGCCCTGGTCTGACACATAGTTGTTATTGTTGTTGTTAAGTACCATGGAGTCGGTTCCGACTCATAGCAACCTTGCACAGGGTTTCCGAGGCTGTAAATCTTTACAGGAGCAGAATGCCTCATCTTTCTCCCACGGAACAGCTGTTAGTTTTGAACTGCCAACCTTGAGGTTACCAGCCAGATTCGTAACCACTACGCTACCAGAGCTCCTGACACATAATAGGTGCTAAATACTCACTGCACTGAATGGAATGAGTGGATGAAATCTTGGTGTCACATTACCTCCCCAGCTTCATCCCCTAAAACTCTTCTCCTAGCTCATCCCCAGGATAGGTGTTATCACTGAAAAGGCAGACAGACCTTGTGAGCGCTGCCATGGTTAGGAGCCAGCTGTGTTTAATGTAGACACTAAACTTTAATGCCTGAAAATAATGATGGAGAGACTGATGCCAATGCCATCCCTATTCCATGTGGGGCTGGGAGGATTAGATGAGATGGGATCATCTATGTCAAATACTCCTATGCCTGGCATGTACTAGAAGTTCAGCAATGAGCTACTGAGTGATATAAGGGCTGTCCAGGCCCAGCGCACTGCAGAAAGAAGCAGCGTTTCTTACAAAGGCATTGGAGTGCTTGGTGGAGCCCAATCCTGGTGTGCCACTGGCCTCTCCACAGAACCAGGCCACCTGCTCACATGCACAGCACAAACTTCAGCTGTTGACTCAGAATGAAATTTAATCAGTGCAGCTTAAGATCACAATCTTTGGTTTCTTTAACAGAAATGTGCTTAGAGTCAATTTAAATCAAGTGACATTTTGCTTGTAATATGTGAAAAAGTAACAAAGGATAAAGTACTATTGCTTATATCCTACAAATCAAAATTCTAAACATTTCTAAGTCTTTAAAAAAGGAAAGATAATGCTTTATTTTCAAATCTATCTACACCTATGAGCAAAATGGTACTTATTTATTAAAAATGACAGAATTCTCTAAATATGGGTAAATGGACAGTTAGTTAACATAGGCTAGAGAAAATTCTTTTTTTTAAAAAAAAAAAGCAAGAGCCTTGAATATTCCTATGGGTTTGATGTTCCACTTGAAAGTCATTATTGTACAGGATTAGTCTTCTCCACATCTCAAACCAGCCAGATGGCCAATGATGTCATATTACACAAATAAAGAAGACACTGGGTGAAGTGAGGATGCTAAGGTCTTAAAGCCATAACAGCATGCCTGTTGGCAAATAACTGGCCCTAAAAACAAGGAACCAGTCCCTGAAGAAGGACATCATGATTGGCAAAGTGGAGGGTCAGTGGAAAAGAGGATGACTCCTAAATGAGGCAGATTGGCACATCAATGATCTCAAACATAACAACAATGAGTTGTGAGGATGGAGAAGACCAGGCAGTGTTTCAGTCTTTGTACATGGAGTACCTATGAGTTGGAACTGACTCAATGGCACCTAACAGCAACAAAATTACAAACATTGCCTCCTTCAAGCCCTTGAGAAGCTCTGTACATATCAGCATGGAACTGCAGCACCTGCTAAACAGTCAGCTCAAGGGCTTCCTATAAGCAGTAGACACCAGTGGTTTAGTATGTACCTTACTGAGCCCTACTCTCCTCACTCCAATACACTCATTGTCCCTAAGAGGAATGCATGGATTTCATTCACTGACTAGACACAGACCCTAGAGTAGAATTGAAGGTCCTAGGTCACCTAAGTCCATAGACTGGCCATGAGACCTGAGTGAGCACTGTTGGATTCTAGGATCAGCCATTTTTTTTAGCTCTGTGACTTTGGATTAGTTACCTAATCTTTCTCAATCTCAGTTTCCTCATATATACACTAAGGGATATTGTAACTGCCTCATAGAATTGTGAAGAAAATTGAGAAATGGCATACATATATCCAATTCAGTGCCTGGCACCTACTA